TTTTTTGTACGGCGTCATTAGGTAGATACTATTCATTTAAAGGGTTGTTTTCTTGTGCTTATTTTTATGTAATACAGTTAGCTAAACACCGTACGATCTAATATATATAATTTTGATGTTGCCGATAGAATATTATTCGTATTTACATTCAAAATACATGGTATCACTACCAATCTTCATTTGATAGCTGACGGCGATTTCTCAATAGTAAATACACATTCACTGTATTTATGTAGGCAATTGTCTTATATTCTTCTTAAAGTATTCTCTTTATTACAGTATTTGATTAATCTAGAATTCCCCCTTGTACCACATAAATTGGGCTAATTGTACTTTTTTGAAATACTCTTCCGTCTTTTTCTGTCAAATTGGGTTTACTCTGTGATGAAATGAGTTAGGCGAGGATTCTTGTTAAAACGGCGCAATTAGACTGACGTATTTTTTATGAATAATGGGGTTTATCTATCGTTTGTCATCGGAATGCTATCTATCTTTGCTTACAAGAAGGTACTAATCTATCTTGTGATATATTTTATTAACTAGCCTTGGATATGGAATCCGCCTTACCCTTTTTATAGAAGAGGGCAAACTGAAAAGAGCATCTTATGTTAAGTGATACCATGGACCTCACGCTGCCGGGCAAGTGCGTTGCCAACCTTTCAAGAATTGCAACGGTTGTGGAACGAAGGACGACTTGATAAATAAAGTAATAAAACTAATTATAAACATCGATAAAAATTTTGAACAAAACTGTCAACTCTTATTGGACAACTTTATACAAAGACTTTTCTTTATTATTTACTTTTAAAATACTTTTTTTATATAGAACAGTGGGCAAACGGCTCATCTGATGTTAAGTGATACCGCCGCCCATGGACACTCAATGCCACAGGGCTCGCCAGTGCGTTGCCGGCATTTATTTACGTATTACTTCCGGTTATTTTACTTTAGATTCATTATATTGTTTATACGTATCTTTGTTTTGATACCTACAGGTTTAACTCAAATAAAAAAACGTTTATGCGTAGTAACAAATAAAGCTCACATAATAACCATAAGTGGGCAAGGCATGAGTTGAATCGTAAAAAGACAAGAGCACATCAATAACAAGGAATCTTAATATAACGCATCGAGGCATGCAAAAAGGTGCATCCATTCCGCAATAAATCCGAAACCACGCCTAAATCTAATGAGAACTATAATTGATTCCCTCCCTAGCACTGCTGTTACTTGTATGCCTTGAAACTTATTTTAACAGTAACTGAGATAGTATGGGGTAGACAACTGTCTAGATACAATTTCCTTTTGCTTAACTGTAAGTAGGACCTTTGAATAACGCATTTTACATAGTTATCATAAATGTAATCAAACAGTTAAAGAGTGTTTTGTCACGTCTTTTATTTTAAATTGACACGAAACTGATAAGGACGGAATAAATAAGAAAGTACACGAGTACAGAAGCGGTTATAGCTAGAATATTACAATATTTGTATTATTTTGTAAAAGCCTGGAAATTTATCCAAGTCCTACTTTTTTTATGTAACTGGAGGCAAATGGGCAATGCTCACCTGTTGTTACGTGTTACCGCCGCACACATTGCCGGAAGGCTCGCAAGTGCACCAGCCTTTTAAGAATTGACACGCTCTTTCTTTCTTTTTTTTCCAATTATACTATTTTAGAGATGAAAATATGATTTAAGTAGTCTTTGAACCAAGTGTTTACCTACAATTCCTCTGATGTTATTCCATGACATTGATATTGAATAAAATTATTGGTTATTTTGGTTATCGCTAGTTTTGTAATATAACCATTTTATAATGTAAAAGACTTGTTTTAAATGTGACTTGTGACGATCACAAACAAATTTATATGAATTATTCGAATATGATTATCTAACTTGTAAGATTTAGTGAATGCTAGTTGGTCAAGTGTAACACATCACACCCCGGGGAGCACCTGATTCATTACTGAAGACTAGCATTCTTTATCACCGCTAAAATAGCTATCAATATTAACATCACAGTCTAATTTCGGATTTGAACTTATGCATTTTTTTCATAGGCTAGGATTCATTTGATTTATTATCAAAAATATATTCAGACTTGCCTGCCTTGCCTTCAAAAGTAGATTTCAGACTGATCTCGAATAAGCCAATCGCAAAACGAAATACAAGTATCTCTATAAATCAAGAATCGCGCAAAACGTCCAGGTAACTTATCTTAAAAATTGATACCAATAAATTAGGTGCGGCGCGAAGATTAAGTATTCTGTTTTACCAATCAACCGGGGCTTCGGCTTAATGCAGGAGATCTGTATCTGTTACAAGTATATTACACACACAATGCATTGAAAAAGCTGCCTATCCGTCATTGGTTTATGTGTACAGCCATCATTATTCTACGTCACTGGCCGAGAGAGGAATCATTATAGCGGCCAATCAGGGCCCGTCGCGCGCGCACCCCGTCGCGTTCTTTATGCCACGCATACGCGGGAATATATCAACAATTCAAAAGGGTTTACGTATCTTGAATTCGTCATCGTTAGACTGGCTCTCCCAATAAATAATAGGTATGTCGGTTGAAATGGACCTTTTTTGAAATGTGTCTGCATCGCTGCTGGAACGGGGATTTGATGTTATGTCTCTTTCAAGTTTTCTCTATTTATTTCATTTCACTTTCATTACACATTTGTTGAACAAGTTTTACATAGAACCGTCTTCTTGACTAGAAAAAAGATGTCGTAACCAACCTATATAGGTTATTGATTTAGGAGTTTTTAGTTAGACTAAAATTAAAACGCCAATAACTACTACACATACATCTTTAGTGTATATGTGTGTAAAGAAATAATTATATTTCTTTTAGATAGTTAATTATCTCTCAATTGTAATATTTAGAGTTTTTTAGTCTGTGGAAGGCGAGTTTTGGAGTGTAATTTGAATTTTTACTATAAGTTTTTTAGTACATTTCGAATTTTAATTAGGAATTAGTTTAATATAATTGTTTTGATTTATAACAAACTCTAAATGTTATTTCTATAAATAATATTATTACACTTTAATTATTAGTTTAAGATTTTTCGTTAAAAAACAAAATTTATAATTATTTCAGCAACACATTGGAGTTTCATTCATCATAAGTGTCATAAAGTACTGTTTTTATGTTATGTTATCTATAGCGATATCTAAAAATGCATAGAAAATAATAAATAATAAAACTCGTGTTAAATTTGATATTAAAAGTTAAATAAATCGGGTCATGCATAGGGTGGTGTCCGCTCACGGTTGCATTGTTTCGCGTCACCCGCGGCTCCTCGGTCGAAGCTGAAGGTGACGGGCGGGTCGATCGATTGCGACGTCGTTATTAGGACGACAGCCTTTGACGACGAGCTATCAACGCTCTGTGGATGGCTTTGTTTGAAATATTCAATAATTTTGTTTAGAATTTAAATAAAAATGTTATACAACCTCATACGTAGTTTGATATCGTTCGCCTTTCAATACAAAATTTATATGAATTTTAATATTTGATGTGCATTTTAAAAGTAAGAGACTGAAAGAAATAACATTCTCTTAAATTATATTTTGTGAAAAAAAATGGGATTATTTTGTCTTTCAGATGTCAATTTTAAAAATCTTCGATGTCATAAGATTCCTAAGTGATAAGTTTACGTATTTAAGCAATAATGAATTTTATGAGCTTTGTCAATGAGGCATTTGATATTTTTTTTATATTCATCCAGTATGACCTGGCGATTATATTTTTGTTTTGACAAAAATGTTAATCTTCCAACTTGCCGATAATTACAAGCTTCCAAGAACGCTGTTGTGACAATAATAATGACACCAACAAGACGGCTGGGTCATTTGTCATTCCGTCATTTGTCAGCTGTTTGTCAACCACAATGGTGTCAGGCGGCGCGATTGACACGCGTCACAAAGGTCACCGCACAGTCAACCACCCCAGTGGTGATCATTTTCTATTGTCCATTCTATGAAAAGTATCCATCTAAGAATGTTATCCACGAATGAATTGGCATTTTTAATTTATGTTAATTAAAAATGCCAATTCATAACATATAAGTAATTATTATACATACATACAAATTAGTATTGTTCAAACATTAAATTACATGTTAACAACATTAACAAAATAATCATTTGTCAATCTAATAGGCAATTAGGTGATCAGCCTCCTGTGTGTTCGTCGACTATAGTGTTTTCCTTCACCGTTCGCGCGAATGTTAAATGCGCTCATAGATAGATAGTCCTTGGTGGACAGCCGTGGATCGATTATACAACCACGGATGAGAGTCGCAAGCTGAAGCCACTAGGCCAACACTGCTATAATAGAACCTTTTTCTGGGTTTGATCAAAACCTTTTCAATTCTCTTTACGACAATATTCATGAATTGTTCTGTTCGTCGCTTTATGATTTGTCTTTTTCTGTTCTAAGGGTAGTTTCCACTTTATCATATTATATTGTACATTTAAATACACGCGTCATCACGTTAAATTTCCGAAGACCGAGTTTAACTTTTATATTATTTTGTAACAATCTGCCTACGCCCCTACGATATTACAACGATGCCGATATTCATTTAACGGTAGATAGGCAATTCCATTCCATAACAGACAATATTTCTAGAAATAGCAAAGTGATTTATAGCTGAAACTAATGTCATATTGCAGCAATTCCCTTCGTTTGCCGACCTAGTTGTCAGCAAACAATAATCAAATTCTTTCATAACTCACTCCGATTTAAAGTTAATAATGTGATAGATGGTCTTATGCAAATACTGGGTTATATCGAAACAAAGTTGTGCAGTAATGAGGAGCTCGACAGTTGCGGGTCGCGTACATTATTGTACATCACGAAATGGTAGCGGTTGAGTTGTTTCAATTAATACTTTGTCCTAGTTACCAACCTTCTTGAAATATTCATCCATTTTTTAGATCGCATCAATTGTGATCGCATCAAATTAGACATTATTGTTTTCAGATGCTGTCTCCTCACGATGATGATGACGACAACCACTTGTGCATCAAATGCAACGCAACTATCGTCGGACTGGACAATTATGTTAAGCATCGAAAAGAGCGATGTGGAAAGTTGAAAAATGTTGAAAAATCTGTCCTCCCTATCGACCCCTTAGAACCCTCATACAGTCTTGGGGCAGATGTTTTCTTTCAATCCTTAGAGCTCCAGAGTAGTGTCAAAAAGTCTTCCTCATTATCAAGACTTACTCCACCAACGCCTATCTACAAAACTAGTTCAGATAGAAAACACACGCATACCATCCCATCAACGTCACGGGATATTCCGAGAATGAGCCCTTTAGAGAATAACTTGAGAGGAGAAGATTGGATCGGTGGTCACAGCTTAAAACTTGAAACTAGTGAAGATAATCAAATGAAACTCATAAAAGCAGTCGCAAGGATTAGTGGAACAGCGAAGAAGGATCTTACTACCTCTACCTATAACATCAATGCATACAATGATTTTAAAGATGACTTAGACGAATCAGATGATTCCGAGGATGAGGATGAAGAAGAAACTGCTCACGTAGAAAAATGGAAGCCACCACCGAATTATACAGGAGGTAAATGGCGCCCTGCATCACCCGATCACGATGACTGGGAACCTTTGAATATTGATACTCACGAACGCGACGAAGACTATGACGCTCCACCTCCAGATCACACAAAAGGCAAGTGGGTGCCGGGACAAGATAAGACTCAAATAATGCAAACCACGCTTCAATCTAAAGGTTCAGTACAGTACTGGTGCGGGCCTTGTAACCGTCGCCTTGGTTCTAGAGCTATTTACGATAAGCATCTAATGTCCAATTTACACATGAGAAAAGTGCTTCCAGAACACGAACTAGAATTCGCTGGACATTTGGAGCCCTTTAAAAACGTACCGGAAAAGCGTACTACCCGTTCAGCATTTCTAAATACAGACTTAAGTCCCAAGAAAAAACAAAAGCTATTAGAAACGAAGAACATTTCTAAGAAAAAGAGAAAACGGAAACCCGTATTCGTACAGTGCTCGGGCTGTAAATCGCGTGTAAAACTCTATCTCATGGGCAAACACTTGATTTCACACTACCACTTCAGGAAAGCTACTGATACGAAAAGTGAGGATTATAAACTACTCATTTTAAACAATATGGATGCTATAGTTCACCAATCACCGTTTCAGTGCAGTCCCTGCAAGTTTTACACGAACTGGCTCTCAAATTTCATGCAACATTGGCATTCTGAAGAACACCAGAGAAATGTAGATTGTATGAATGGGAGATTTTGGTGTTCATTCTGTAAATTTGAGTGTGAGGCATCTCAAGAGATGCTAGATCATTTATCAAGTTCAGAACATACTGAAGTTGTGGCTGTCATTAATAGATCTATGCCTATTATCATACGAAAGAAGACTGTTATCAAATGTGAAACTTGCTCAAAGGAATTTCGTTATATTATAGAGGTGAAACAACACTGCATTAAAACAGGGCATATGGTTCCACCTTCTGCCAGTGATATGTGTCAAGAGCTTCATAAATGTCAGCACTGTAAGAAGAAGTTCAAGTCTTCTATTACTCTTTGCTCTCATTTAAAATCAGAACATAAAGCTCAAGTCTTTTTCTGCATTGTTTGCTCGAAAGTGTTTGATTCGTCTTCCGAAGCCAAGCAACATCGCCAAACCTCTGAACATAGAGTGAGGACTAAGGAAAAGTTGATAGCTCGTGGTCTGTGCTCTAAGGATTTAAGGAAGAAATGCCCGTACTGCCCAGGAAAAGTTCTGCTAAAGAATGTCCTTGAGCTTCGAGATCATGTTAGGTGTATTCATCCACATATAACGAAAAAGTAAGTAATATAACCCTAATAGTATTTCTTAACAAATTTTGTATCGTGAAATTCTTATACTCTTTATCTCAATCAAGAGACAGAGATTTTTTAAAGAAAAATATAAAAGATAAATTTAATTTTTGAAACGCAAAGATTTTGTTTTTAGAATTACATTGGTAATAATTGAGTATAACACACACTCTCAAAAAAAAACTTATGTTAATTATATCTTTCAGGTGTTCAAAATGCGGCAAAGCTTTTACACTCCCCCAAGAAGTGACTCGTCACATAAGAAGCAACTCTTGTCAGTTTATAGAGCCAAACTCCGCGAACACAGCCGGCCTCTGGAACTGCAGCCAATGTCTTTTTACCACAGACTCGCAGGCCGAATGCTTCTTCCACGAAGTCCTACATACTGAGCCCATTTTGGACGATAGGGAAATGATAAAATATTCATGTCCATTGTGTAATAAGGTGTTTAGAAAGAAATCCCTGCGTGAGCATTTGAGACAGCATACCTTTGAACGGCCGTTCGCTTGCACTATTTGTGGCGCTAACTTCACACGTCAGAGCAGTCTCAGTAACCATGTTAAGACTAAACATGACAAGAAAGAACAGATTGTGCATAAGACCAAAAACACCTTGGATTTACGTTGCCAGAAATGCAAGAAGAAATGTAATAATGAGTAAGTACTTTTGAAACAATAATACTAATAAGAATAGACATTTTATCATGACTTTGATTTGATTTACTTTGACTAAATCTCTCTAGGCAAAGAAGTTGTATAAACCATATTTAATACTCTCAATTGTGTAAGGTTATGTTATCATATAAAATATAATATTTAAAAAGAGAATACGGATAAAGATACATTTATGAATAAGTCTACATATACACTTATTTTAGGTTTAAAATAATTTAAATTATGTTAAAAATATATAGAAATGGAGAGTCTAAATATGTAAGAGTTAAATTTCGCAAATAATAGCACGCCTTTGATACTAAAATAAAAGACAGCTCAACGCGCAGCTATGCGTCTACGCAGTTGATGTCAACATCAATAAAGCGCGAACGGCGGATGCAACCGTGTCAACTGTCACACAACTCCCTCACGACTATCGGGAAACATAATTTGACTACTGTGTTTGTCTGACGACGTTTTTATCCGTACAACTATATATCACCGGATGCATATTCAGTGAAGATGTAATCGTACGACTTATGAACACTAAGGCAGGAGTGCCAATTCAAATCAATATAAAACATATTTAATACATTGCTTTATAAATACAATTATTTGTCTGACAATTTTAATGATATGCGCGATGGAGACCGTACTAATTTCGGAATCATTTCAATACCAGCAAACTTCAGTCAAAAGTCACAAGTCAAAAATCATTTAATCATGTAGCGTAGGTAACACACTGTACACTTATGAACATCAAAAAAAGAAATATACATTAAATGCTTCTAATTTTACATTTACTGCCAGTTCTCAAATCAAGGGCGTAGAACGGAAGAGAAGAACTGGCAATAAACTCTCCGCCACTCTTTTTAATCGCCTAAAGTATCATGACTAATACGCAGTGTAAAGAATATTTTGTATTGTTTATTCTCTTTTTAGAAGGATAAAATATTCAGTAGCTACATGAGGTACTAGTTATGTCCACACGGAAGTTCGTCGCTATCCGCCCTAACACTTAGGCAATATCATTTTATTGAATGCATGTGGTATTAGCAGGTTGATGTGATACGCCAAATGGTATATTTGCTTTGACAGTGTCATGAGAATCATCGTTTCTATAAATATCGTTTTGATCTGTCCAGTTGCCCGGCATAATTCCCGTCTTGGCCCCTTTCGCATCTCATTTATAAACGTTATTGTGTCATGTTTACTGAATAAATCTCAATTATAGTTCATTCGCGCACTCATATTGTTGACGTGATTCCTTATGTCATAAATTCTTTGATATAACTGTCATTCAGTGTAAATTATATGGATTTTGTTCGTATACTGCCAAGTGTGTTCTAAATACATTTTTGTGTCAGAAAACTGAAGTTAAAATAACGACTCGTATTCGATCGATGTTTTAAATTAAAACTGTATATATCGATTTACAGTTATATATCTCTTGTATATAAATGATGTCCCGTAATCCCAAGACTGAAAGAGTACCTTAATCTTAAAGAGTACAATTAGAGTATGCCAAAGGGCTATGGAGCGTTCGATTCTTCGATTGTAGCTAAAAGACAAAGTTAAAAACGGTGTGATACGAAGCCGTACTAACATAAACGACATCGTAACACAAAAGAGTTAAGGTGGTAATGTGCCGGTCACATTGCCCGCATTTGTGATGGCAGGTGGGTCAAGAAGACCCTTACTTGGAATGGCCCAGTTGGAAGAAGAAAGAGAGGACGCCCACCAGAAACTTGGGAAGATTGAATAAAAGGGATAGCGGGGCAGAATTGGAAAATTGTTGCGAGAAATACACATGTACATTCCGTCGAGTACTAGTGTAAAACATAATGACATGGACTGTGTAGTGTAGTACTCGAATAAAGGCTATTTATATTTACAGTTAGACTGATAGGAATATATAAGATAGTTTAAGAAGCGAGTAGTTTTCTTAGTATAAACTTGAGGAAACATATCAAAAGCCGCGTGAATCACCGCGGTGATTATGGCAAGTTTAGGAATAAGCGCGGCATGAAAGAGCCATTGAGGGCTGCAAACAGCTCCAGATGACCGAACTTGTGCAATTGCTGATGTGCATATCGCTATATGCGGTTAACTTTCATGTCGCTTTAACGACTTCGTGAATCCCGCTTCATGAATCTAGGATATCTTAGAAAATGTAGTTTTGAAATACAAACCTATCAACATACGCAAAAATCCCAGAAACTACTGAGCCGATTTTGATCTCGATATAACTTAGTTTCCAAGGAATGTGATACGTACATTTACGAAAGTTGTGATTGGAAGTCTAGATACTTCAATATTATTTATTTCTAACAATATAACAGGTAAAACCGATAACCTTATTTTTGAATATTTTATTGACATTTAATACTGCGCATGAGATGGAATACTAATGTCATTACGGAAAATATAAAATACTTAAAAAGATTTAAGAATCTAAAGGCCCTCTTTCTACTGAATTGCATGAAATAAGATTCATAAGTACTTTAGTTCAGAGTGAAATTTACTGGTTTGTTTTTAAGAAATAAGGATAACTATTAATATCCGAACCATACCTATACGTTTTCTAATTTAAAATCTAAAGCAGGAAATTCTTGCGGAGGTTAATTATGAGTATGAGTATGAATCATCCCAGTTTTAGGAATCATAAGGAAAACTTTACCGACGTCTTTAGAAGGTTCCATTAAAAATATCCATAAAATTCACCTGACCTTTAATCATAAAATCTGAATGTGTGTTAAGGAACTATTATTGAGATTATATGCCTATATATTATAACAGTACGTAAAAGTACACCCAAAACATACAAATATTAAAATTATCTAAATCAAAGAATATTACATTAGGCTAAACATAAATCCTGGTTGGCGAAAAGTTCAACAAAACAGTTAGTCGCATTCCGTAACTGAACATTCCTTGGCGGCTCTCAACGTCCGAAATCATGCATTTTCCGTTGCTAATATACTGTACAATACATTTATATTAATAACCTTATTAATGTTTTCAATAATAAATAAGAACATCAAAACCTTTGCAAGTTAGAACATCAACATCTACCTACTCATATTTATTAGTTTATTACAATCTATTAACAATATTAATATTTTCAGAGAAGAACTAAAAACTCATACAGCGTCATGCCAAGTTTATCAATTACAATGTACCGAAGATCAGTGTACTTTCATTGCCAGTACACCCACACAGATGTTCAGGTACGGTTATTAAATCTACAAGTACTGTTTTGAAAGTAATATCAACTACTAATAGTAATTGCAATTATAACAATTTGTTATTTGGCGTTTTAACGCCATCTGTGGGGTGATTTCGAAAGCATTTGTACGAACAAACAACTTAGTTCGGAAATATTAGAGAGCTTGGATGTACATCTATTAATAATATTACTAGATGGCGCTAAACCAAGCAGTAATCGTTTTTAAAACTTTTATTCTGTGAATTATATTTTTAATTACTATATATACTGACACACATATTATTTTACAGGCATCGAAAGAGCCATGGAATTGCGAAGGCTCATGAATGTTCGGAGTGTGACTTCAAGACAGATCAAATAAGCCATTTGAAAAGGCACTTGGTGACACATAAGGGCCTTAAACCTTATGCCTGTCCACATTGCACCTTCACTTGTGCTAGCTTGGTACTTATTACTTAACTATTCATTTTGTATTTACGGTATTTTGTAGTAAATGTTAATACTATACATATATCTCAAAGGATGTTAAAAAGAAACAGATTTATGAAAGATCGCAATGAGCATGTATTTTTTAATATTAAAGTGTTAAAGACTGCTATAATCTTCCTTTTTTAGGAAAATCTTCGAAAACATGTGCTCAAAGGAAAAAAGCATCCTGGAATGTATCTTTATCGGTGCAAGTCTTGTGAATACGAAACAAATTTAGCAAATGACCTGCGAACTCATTACATTACAATCCATTCAAGCGCGTATAACCTGAAAACTGCTATAGAAGAAGTTAAAAATCAATTGATGTTGAAGAACACATAAAAAATCTATGTAGGTAAAAATATGTTTAAGTATTTTAATTACTTGGCAATAAATCGAAATAACTTGGCAATAAATCAATTTTAATAAGTATATATTTTGTATAAATTTATGTTATTTAATATTACGCCATCTAGTGTTGTTCTCCTAGAATCGTAACTTACTTTTTACAGCGCACAAGACACATTTACTTCAGTCTTGTTTTAAATAAAGTGCCACCTACTGGCAATTATCTAAATCTCACAAAGTTGTATTTAATAACATTATTTTCTAAAAGCTCCGGTATGGTAATAATGACTATGATTATGAAAATAAAAAAAATTACGATCATTTTGCAATCATGAATTCTTTTAAAATCCCATGATTAAGATTATTGTTATGCTATGCTAACCACCTAACATGCCTGTGATCTGTGGAGTGTCAAGTGTGCACTGTGCAGTGTGGAGGGAAATATCAAACAAATGCTTTGGTGATTATTGTTGCGCAGTCGTGCTCATGGTGATTTTTTAAAATTATTTCTGCCGGTATATAAAAATATATAGATATCGATTGAATCAATGAAAAGGTTATATAATTAAAGTGATTAAATTTCGTAGTGAAAGCTATTACAAATTACGACGCATAAAGATAAGAAAAATTGCCGTTAGCGCATATAATTTGCAATGAAATTTTATTTCTCCGTGCAGTGATATAAATAATCATCTGACATGTCCCTTAAGGTAAGACTTTTCCTAATACGTAAAATTTTATTCGCTAATACTCATCATAATATAAAATAATTTATTTATAGACTTCTTCTACCCACTTAAATTATATACATACGATGTCCATCATACCAAATAAATTATATTTCTTAAGGTTCGTACTACACATTTTAAATAAAAAAAATATTATCACATAATATGTTTAACCAGTGTCTTTTCAGTTTGTGTAATTGAAACTATCTATTTTTGAATGTTGACCTTGAGACAGATTTGTTTTGATTTATGAATTTGATATCTTAATGCATATTGCAAATACAAAAATATTATGTATCAAATTAATAAAAGTATTCTTAAATATTTTTTTAATTTCAAGATTTTAAGAAGCTTCTCTAACTAAGGTTTAAAAATCATTATATATTTAAAAAAAGAGATTGATAAATCTTCTTTAATAAATTCCCTAATGATTGTTATTGTTTATTAGCATTAGCTGATTAGGATACAGAAGAAAAATAATTCTAACCCAGTTAAAAGAAATTATAAAAGTTCTTTACAGATTATATACCTACTAAAAGTAATAAGCCATAACATTTGAATATGGAATTAATGTTCCAAGAATACATTTACTTAATAAATGAATATAAATGAAGAAAGTTTTTCAGTAAATACATAAATGATAAGCATATTAATGTATAATATTAAAGTACTTATAATAAATGTAACATGATATAAGTAACCAACATTCACTTCCTTAAACTGCTAAATGAAATAATGTTCTAATATAATATAACTAAGGCTTTAATAATATGTATATGTATTGAAATTTATTTAACTTAATGGTTAGCAAGCGGCAGTCTGGTTTTTCAGCCCAGCTGGCTAGTGGGTGTCTGAATCACAAAGTGCATATACCGCACCTGGTGTTAGAGCCACATGGCACAACCAGTTTAAAACCTGTTTAGTCTTCTGATTCCATATAAAACAATATAATCTCCCAAAACAATATATTTATAAGAGCTTTATAAGCTAATTGACTTTGATATTTAGAGTATTTTTTCTTCGTATTCTTAACTTAAACTTAAATTGTTTAATAATATTTTTTTAAAATAAGCTTACACTTAATGCTACTATTTGTCTATGTCTAAAATATGAAAAATATTAATTTAAAAACTATGCTCGAAAATATACACGAATAGCTCGCGTGTATATATGACTTGGGTGTATCCAACTACATTTGTAGGTCGTTTAAATATAAATCTTTCCCTTTCATTAAACCGGGTGAGAGAATCCAGACCACGGCAGGCTGGATATATCGGTCTAGACTTCACTTGTTATTCTAACGGTACATGTATTTTTAGCTTACTTTACATTTTAAATAGAATGAAATTAATTAAATACTGTATGAATATACGTATTTTTATAACAGTATATTTTTACGTTAATTAGGATCATATGGAACTAGGCAAGGTTTATATTAAAGGGGAGCATTGCAATGCCATTCGAATTACATTTGCGTAGAGTAGTAATCACAATTACTTTGTGATTTGATAATTCCACATCGTATGTCTAAGTCGATAAAAAGTTTTTAGAGAAAGATGAATCAGGAAAGCTTAGAAATATTCCGCATCAGCCCTCCGATTCTGTAACTCACTTTTCGAACTCACTGAGCGGTTTTCGCATCGGCGGTCGCTCTCAAATCAGTCGTGAAGCAGTCATTTTATGATTTGGCATTCTGATAAACAATAAACTACAAGCTCCCACCTTTTCAGAATGCCAAATCATAAAATGACTGCTTCACGACTGATTTGAGAGCGACCGCCGATGCGAAAACCGCTCAGTGAGTTCGAAAAGTGAGTTACAGAATCGCAGGGCTGTACTCTGTAACTTCCAATAGCAGCAGCGATGCCGGACTCGTTTTAGAATGCAATTTCGATTATTTTTCTCAATATCCGAATTGAGAGTTACAGAGTACAGATCCTGGTATGTATAGGTAATTAGGTACTGTATACGAAATGCAATGTTTTTTTTTAAGTTAACACCATAAGCATACGAATGTTGATGGTAATTAATATTATGTTGAAGAATTATATCGTAGAAAATGTCTTAGGTTGATATTCTGAATAGATAATTGGCACGAAATACGACTTCCGTATATCAAAGTCCATTACATTATAAAAAAAAAAAATCAGCAGTTGGTAGAAAGATCAAGGATTTTAATACCGCTGGATTAAATTCTTTCCAAATAAACCTTTGGTGGCTTTAGACGGCTAATGCTATATTAACCAGTTATGCTTATTCAACACACGTTTGTAGTTTCTAAATCAATCCCAAATTGGATGTGGAAATGTAAAACATTTGCTATTTCTCTCAATACGACATCGGATACATTTCTTGTGATAGTCAAGTGTGAAATCGTATGCCTTATATGGTCTGTCGCGCTTACGCAGTAAAGAAAAGAAATTTGGGTTAAAAATTCCTTGTTAGAACAGGAAGGTTGTAATCGTCGTGCTGTTTGTAATCTAAATCCAAGTAGAGAGTTTATTGCCTGTTTTTCTCTTCCGTTCTACGCCCTTGATTTGAGAACTGGCAGTAAATGTAAAATTAGTAGCATTTCATGTACATATATTATTTTTTTGACGTTCATAAGTGCACATTGTGTTACCTATATGAATAAATGATTTTGACTTTGAGCCATTGCCATCATACAACTATTTGGGGTTAAAACTCAACTTTATTTTGCGTTTGAAAATTATTTACTTCAAAAACATATGTACCAATATGCAATAATAAATACATATGCGAATATATTTTACTGTATACTTTTAAAACCCTTACATATGAAGCAATACATTAGGTATTGATATCTTAATTATAGGCATTTTTACTGGGTTTTACAAAGCAAGATTTTGAAATAAAACTATTTTTAGCTGTATGAATAGAGTATTCAATAATAATGAACCGTATCACCTTGACGTACCGTCTTTCCACAAGTGAGCGTTATTTAATGCAGTTTCTGCCATGCACCACTATGTAGAGCCAGCTACCCATCGAAGTATTTTAAAATCAACTCTACTTAAGGTCCTTGAAGAAAAGATCGTACCTTTTAGGCCGGCACTCGGGAGCCCTCTTGCATTGAGAGTATCCATGGGCAACGGTATCATTTGCGTTTTATTGATGGCGTAGTCTTGCTCTTTCGTGAATTTTGTAAACGTTGTTGACATTCATAAGCATGCTCTAAGAAGCATCTAAATTGAATAAACGTGTTTTGATTTTGATTGATTTTGATTTAACATCAGATAAGCCTCTTGCCCGTTTGCCCCCTATTTTATAAAACAATCTGTATCATCATATATAGGTATCGCAAATTTAGCCTTACTCACAAAATGCATATCTTTCTTTACCACCCATTTCGTTTAGGACACTTCGACTTATTTTTTATATATTCATTACATAAATCAACTATTAAACGAACCATTTACTGTTTAGATTATTTATAACTGATTTATTCATAGCTTAGTTGATAGTAATTTATTAAGGTGAAGTCATACCATTTCCCGTAACAGAATTATTGCACATTAATTGATCTATCAGTCACGACTTAACTAAGTAGTTAGTCTAATCTAAACTAGGATATCGAACAATATATAATTTACGGTTTAATATTTTCGCTGTTTGAAAAATATACTTAGTTCATTTTGAGAAGAATTTTAACACAACACATTTAATTATACTTATAACGTACCGTTATAATTACAATTATAAATTTAATCGTAACTCGTAATTGGCAATGCATTATGCAACGTATTATTTACTTAAACAAAGTATAGTAAATGAACCTGAAATTCTTGCAGCTATAAAAAATAATTACCAAAAACTACAGATTAGGTACTATCAAAATTTGTATATATAAATTATTAATAAAATCATTTTAGTATAACATCTAATAATCAAGTCACCATCAAAATCCTATTATTCGTCCACTATCCATATGTATACCTACACGAAATAAAATAACTACGTCTATTTAAAAACAGTATTGTGAAATAAAAAAAATATAAGATAAAGCGATTTAAAAATGTTTAAAGCCTTTAGCGATAAAGCCTCTATACAAATGTATGCCTAGTCCAGATTCTCACATTAATGACATAAACCGTGTCTCAGAGCTGTGAATATAATTAGCTGTCGGTGAAGTGGCCCTAATTCGCAACTCATGAGTTAACTCGCCTACGATTGCGCAATGCCATATTTTATGGGCTAACGGTGACCTAGATCTGTAAGATATATTTTTATTTTCCAGCTTTAACA